ATTTTTAGGGTTAGTTAGATGAATATTATGTTTTAGACATGTAATTAGGTGAGTAACACGGTAAAAATATAAATTAGGTGAGTAGTAAATTGTTGATCCAATTAGACAAAAATGTCTTTAATGACTTTATAAGAGAAAATGATTAAAAACAGTAATTCTCAGAAAATCCTTAAAAATTCGTTGTCTCGATCTCTTCCATCTTAATTACAGAAACAAAGGCATAATGAGTAGTTGTAATCAACTATCCAAATTTATATAGTTCACTATATCAAACATACATGTAAATATATAGTAGTTAACTATAATATATAAATTTTAATAATACCCAGTGATAGTCTACTATACAAATATTCATACTAATTTACTATAATAGTTCACAATACTTATACAAACAGTAAGTCCTTAGCCAACCGTTCATGATAAAGAGACAAAGGCAGTGAGTAATTGTAGTTAATTATACAAATTTACATAGTTCACTGTATTAAACATACATGTAAAGGATAGTTGACTATAATATATAAAATTTGCTTATACATATTGACTATATTAATATACATGTTAATTTACTATAATAGTTCACTATACCTATAAAAATTGAGGCGGTGAAGTAACCTTGAACCCATCTTTGAGTAGTTTCCAAAATTGATATTTGAAGAGTTTTTCCTTCTGCTCTGGAGTTTTTGCCTAGAAATTTCGTAATAGCTCAATAGTATTTGATAGACATTCAACTTGATTTTGACGGATCCACGACCCTATCGAAACAACCGCTTAGATAGATTGAGATCTTTCATCTTGGGAGATGTGTGAGAAACAAAAATATTGATCAAAATTAGCAGACCTGAGTAATCGAGAAGTGATTAGAGAAGAATTAAATGGAGAAATACGAAATCAAACAAGAAGATTAGTTGAAACCAGAGAATGAAAGTGATTTTCCTGAATTGAGAAGAAGAAAAAGTGGTGTAGGAGGCAGGGGATGTGACGGTTAGGGAAGTAGATGTGAAAGAGGGATCGCAGCGGCAGTGGGGACAGGTTGAAAACGGTGGTGGTGAGAGTTGAAAACGGAGAAGAAGAGATGTTGGAAACGGTCGTGAATTTTGTTTATGAGATTATGGTAAAAATATAGAGTTCTTAGGAGACTAAAATAATTGCATAGGGATAAAATTAGAATTTTATGTTAGCTACTAAATTATCATTTGTAGAATGTTAATTATATGTACATAAAGTAATATATAGAGAATTTGCACTTAATGACTAAAAAAAGTTACAATATTGGATAAATAACCAAACCCCCTATAGTTTTTCTAAAGGAATCCCCATACTTTAGTCACTTTTCTAATTATAAAAGTTTTTTTTGGTTATTTTTGCAAATCACTCTAATATATATGCTAATTATGGCACTAAATGGTAACACACATTCAACAAATTCAACAGATTCAACAAATTCTGCAAATTCCGCAGTTACCATTTAAGTTANCANNNATTCAGCAAATTCTGCAATTNAACAGAAATTCAGCATAAATTCAGCAGAAATTATGCGGTTATCATTTACACCCATAGGGTT